AACAGATAAAAATTCAGGTATGACATTTTTAGTAGGCAGTGGAACAGATGTGTCCATTGTTCCTATTCAGGCACAAAGAAATAACATTTCAGATTTTAAATTGTATGCAGCGAATGGCACGGAGATTCCCACGTTTGGTGTAAATGTTTTAAATATCAATTTGGGACTTCGTCGAGAATTCAGATGGCCTTTTATTGCAGCCAAAGTAAGCAGAGGTATACTAGGTGCTGATTTTTTACACCATTTCAACCTTTTGGTTGATTTGAGAAATAATCAACTAATTGACGGTAACACTAAATTAGGAGTTATTGGTAACGTTTCAGCAGTCGATACAAGCGATTTTATAAGCACTGTTGCCAATTCACATAAATTTTCCGAATTACTAAAATCATACCCAAATCTAACTAAACCAAGTTTACTACCTACAGCAGTAAAACACGATGTTCAACATCATATTGTAACAACGGGTCAACCAATTCATTCCCGTCCTAGGCCACTTGATACGAAAAAATTAGCAATCGCGAAAGAAGAATTTCAATTTATGCTAAACCATGGAATTATACGTCCCTCCAAGTCACAGTGGTCGAGTCCACTGCACTTGGCACCCAAGAAGGATGGCTCAATGCGTCCATGTGGTGATTATAGGAGACTGAATTCACAAACCATTCCAGATAGATACCCAATACCAAGAATTATAGATTTTCAACATATTCTTCATAAAAAACAATTTTTTTCAAAAATTGATTTATTTAAGGCCTATTTTCAAATTCCCGTCGCTGAAGCAGACAAGCCAAAAACAGCTGTGATCACACCGTTTGGTATGTTTGAATATAATGTAATGCCCTTTGGCCTTCGAAATGTCCCAAGTACTTTTCAACGATTTATCAATGAAGTATTCCATGGCCTGAATTTCGTGTTTCCATATCTGGACGACTGCCTAATAGCTTCAAGTTCGGAAGAGAAGCATCAATATCATCTCAAACTAGTTTTTGACCGTCTTGAAAAATATGGACTTCACATTAATGTTGCAAAGTCGGAATTCGGTGTGCACAAACTACAGTTCCTAGGCTACCTGATCACACCTGATGGTACTAAACCATTGCCTGATCGAGTACAAGCTATTGTGGATTTCAAACTCCCTGAAACAATTGTTGGACTTCGCCGATTCCTCGGTATGATTAATTTTTATAGAAGCTATCTACCTGAAGCCTCTAAAACTCAAGCTATTCTCCATGAATACACAAAATGAGCTCGAAAAAATGACAATAGAAAAATTTCTTGGACTTCTGAAGCCATTTCTCAATTTGAGAAATGCAAAACGGACTTAGCGGATGCAACAATGCTTTCCTACCCTAGTGCAGACTTACCTTTGGCTCTTGTTGTTGATGCCAGCGACTATGCAATTGGAGGAGTAGTGCAACAATTAGAAGATGGCAAGTGGAAACTACTTGCTTTCTTTTCTAAGAAATTAAAATGTGCAGAAAAAAACTACAGCACCTATGACCGAGAATTATTTGGCATATACGAATCGGTCAAACACTTTAGACACAACCTTGAAGGAAGACAGTTTGTAATATACACTGATCACCGCCCATTGATTTATGCCTTCAAGCAAAAAAATGAAAAGGCTACCCCGTTGCAACTAAGACGCTTACAATACATTTCCGAATTTTCCACTGACATTAGACACATAAATGGAAAACTGAACGTGGTTGCTGATACACTTTCTAGAATCGAATCTATCAGCACCATCGATATTGGTAAAGTAGCAGAAGCCCAAGCCAGTGATCCTGAATTTCTGTCAGTGAAGAATGGTGAAACATCCCTAGTATTTAAACCTTATCAACTGCCAAGTGGAAACAGTTTGTGGTGTGACATCTCTACTGAATCTGTATAGACCTTTCATACCTCAAACATTTCGTCACTTGTTTTATGAACAAATTCACAATTTAAATCACCCAGATGTAAAAGCCACTGTCAAACAAGTTGGTGCTCGTTTTGTTTGGCCAGGTCTTAACAAAGATGTGCGTGATTGGGCAAAATCGTGTATAACTTGCCAAAAGTCTAAAGTGATAAGACACACAAAATCACCATTTGGAATATTTCAACTGCCAGATGAGAGATTTTCTAATGTACACATCGATCTGATTGGCCCGTTACCTCCTTCAAATGGTAACATCTATCTACTGACTGCGATAGATCGTTTTACAAATTGGATGGAAGCTATACCACTGGCAGAAATCACTGCAGAAGTTGTCACCAGATCATTTTATGACAATTGGATTGCACGCTTTGGCGTCCCATCCTCGCTCACATCTGACCAAGATCGACAATTTGAGGCGAACCTATTCAGAAATCTAAGTTATTTGTGTGGAATCAAATTGCAGAGGACAACTCCTTACCACCCTCAGTGTAATGGGAAAGTGGAACGACAACATCACACTCTGAAAACTGCTCTGAGAGCAAATGGTTCCCTAAAATGGTCAGAAGCCCTACCAACAATTCTTCTGGGTTTACGAGCCTCATTCATCCCCGATACTGGTGTCTCCATTGCACAATTGGTATACGGCACCACTATCAAGTTGCCTGACGAATTTCTCGGACAGCCAGCTCAACGTATAAACGATGCAGAAACTTTTGTATTGCAACTTCAAGACACTATGAGACAGCTGAAGCCTGTTCCAGTGAAGCTAAAGACCAACAAGTCATTCTTCATTCACAAGAATTTGGCTGAATGCACTCATGTGTTTGTAAGAATTGACCGAATGAAGAAACCCTTGGAAGTAGCTTATGAATGACCCTTCAAAGTGATTGCCAGATCTGACAAATTTTTTACACTGCAATTGAAGAACAGAGAAACAAATATATCAGTGGACCGCCTAAAGCCGGCTTATGTCTTGGCATCACCAGAAGAACCTGACCTTCGTTTAAAAGAACCTGACCTATGTTCTGCACAAACTTCTCCTGAAAAGACTAACGAACCCTGTCCAGGTCCTAGTACCAGTAAACCACTGATACAAACCACACGTAGTGGTCGTGCAGTGAAGTTTCCATCTCGGTACTTGGATGCAATTATTTTCTAAAGTTAACATTGTATTTCAGCCTTTGAGAAACATTGTCGCGACTGTGTCTCTGGGAGGCAGTGATGTAGGAGCAGGTCAAACCATATGGTTTAATTTAATTTGATAAACAATCGATATCATATGTAAATAAAATAATGTGTTCAGATGTTTTTATGGTGATAAAATGTAATGTTTGTGGTTATAAATAAATTTTGTTGATTAGCAAATCTGTAGCTTTCTTTAAGATATTTATTAAAGATAATCTATCTTAACTTAAGTAATATTAATAAAACGACCAGTAATAAGTTTCTTTTGAAAAATACACTCGTTCGTGTACTTCAGAACATACATAATTGTATTTTAAAGGTTCTCATAGCTTATAAGAATGCTTAGAGTTGTTGTTTTCTTTACACTACATCTCGAAGTATATAGGGTAAAACCCCCCAGTTTCCAGCAGCTCCCAATCTTCAGCACCTTTTTTCTTCTTCCTCTAACTCCTGTGTACTGTTAAGGGTGAAGTTGTATTCTCAGTACATCTAGCCCACTGGTTTCTGTTCCCGATTTGTCCTCTCATCTTCAGTATGGTGCATCATCTTGCTGCTGCCCCTAATTTTCCTATGTAATCGAAGTACATGCACCTGGATCTGCCTCGAGGACATCTTTGTTTTGGCCTTTCAGGTGTTGTCCAAGATAAATCGTGCCACCATCATTTGTCCGGATTGCCCTTATTGTATACTCTAAATAGAGTAGGGTGATAAAGGATCATTGGGCAAGGGTCATTGGGCCATGAGACAGCCAGAATAGCTGCCTTTGAATCCACAAACAATACGATATTTTTGGCATCTAAGTGTGACAAGGCTTGCAGTGCCAATAAAATTGCTCTTATTCCGATGTCAAAATTTGATGCCCATTTCCCAACAGGCTCCTTCATTGCGTGTTGCTAGTTCTGCAGACCCATCGGCGTACACATGAATCCATGGGAAAACGTTCAGCATCTTTTAAATCCATCATTTTAATTTAAAAGATCTTATCATTTTAAGAGCCAAGGATCTTAGTTCAAAAAATTACTTTATAGTAGAAGGACCTACAAAACAACTGAAATTTTATCTTAAATAAAAATAAGTAAAATGTTGACATAATAAAAATATATCTCAATCATTTCTTCTTTAAATATTTCTATGATAACAGGGTAAATGTGAATATATATATATATGTATTGTTATGGTATAATTTTACATACCCTCTAGCTTCATCAATATATGATTTCCTCTTACATCGGAAAACAATGATAATTATCTTATAATTACATAGTGTTAAAAGAAATTGAATGATAATATATAATAATTTAAATTCCTAGCTAATTTAATAAGAAATAGTTGGCAAATTCTGAAGAATTGGCCTGCACAAAATAGTTCATGACTTAATATTAAAAATCAATGAAACAGAATAACTTTTGATCACAGCGAAGACTGCAGAAATGTAACAACTCGATTGTTATTAGACGATGTGACATCTTGATGGCTATATCACGTGTTTTTCTTAGTTAGCAAGTTAATAACCTCAAAACAAAAAATTACTGAGAAACCGATTTTCATCGAACTTCAGAAATTGTTGTTTTAAAAGCAAATCTATTGTCCAAAAGTTCTTTTGCTTAAATCTGTGACATATGCATAAAGTTTTTATTGTATATTTTTGCGTGTTTCAGTATTTTTATTACACATTGTTGGACATTTTCATGACATATTTTCAGATTTTAACTTCACTAAATATCCCCATTCCAATTATGATAATGCTAAGTGCTGAACTTTTATACTTATTTTATGTGTTGTAAAATATTGAATTTCTATTTTATGATAAATCACATATATCATTGGAAACAAACTTCATCAATTGATTTTTTCAAATTTATTTATGGATATGTTTTTTGTTTTTTTTTAGACGTTTTGAACTCAAGAGTTGAACTTCTTAATTTTGAAAATAATGAAATGGAGGTTGAAGATACCGAATCTTCACCTGTTACTCCTCAAACTCCTGTCGACAGTTTTGATACTGGTAGTGTTATTTCACCTGAAACATTTTCTGGACAGTTTATTTATTCCAGTTTAAGTAGCGAAGTAAGTGTTATTTTTCTTCAAGTGAAGAAATTACTTTGTACTGAGCTATTGTGGTGTTATGATGCTTTAAAGAAATGATGGTCTTATAATTGGATACCACAAATGAATATAGTTTCAGTTTTATGACAAAAATAAGTTTAGTTATGCTTAACCATGTTTGATTACATTGGGTCTTTATTAAAAAAGAGTCAAGACATCCACCAAGCTCTTTCTTTCTTTTTTTTTCTGTCCACCCCTACCTCGCCTTTAAGGATATATGGAGGTTTTCCTGCTCCAGGGAGAAAAAAGAACATAGTCAACCGAAAAAGAACATGAAGCAGTTTTTAACCGAGAACATTTACAGCTGGAGTTTGGCACTTTATCTACCGTGCCATACAGGTCATATACATTCATCTAGCTATAAAATATAAGATCTCAGTTATAAGAAAATAAAATTGGCTGGATTTTTTAGTTTTTGTTGACAATATTTGTTCCTGGAAAATCTCTTGAAAGGAAGAGCAGGAAATCCCTGCAAAGGATATGTAGGAAAATTATTACTCTCCTCTTCCTTTCAGTTGTTTTCATTGATCTGAAACACTTATTCAGTTGTTGTACTGCATTTTGCCAGTATGGTATGCTTTAATAATAATAATAATAATTGAATCTTTTATAACAGACCATACAGTGATCCATAACAGACCCGATATCGTGTTGATTGATAGTAATTTGAAGACAGCTGAGATAATAGATGTCGCTGTGCCAAACGATGGGAACACCAATTCAGTCTTCGCCGAAAAAATTTGGAAATATCAAACTCTTGCAGCCGAGTTAAAAGATTTGTACAGACTGAAGAAAGTGACAGAAAGGGGTTTAGTCATGTCTAGTAATGAGCTGATTCCAAAATCCACTGTGGAAGCTACCGAGAAGTTGTGCCTCTCAACAAGTCACAATAAATGAAGCCCAGAAAGTTGTACTGCTGAACACTGCGAGAATCGTAAGGAGCTTCCTAAATATCCAATAGAACTACAAAAATTGACATGAAGTGGTTGAAGTTAATTCTTCCCCACCCCAGGAAAATACCTTATTTTTAAATTGTTAAAAAATAAATAATAATAATAATAATGGTGGGTTTATTGTCGACTGTAGTGAATAATTGAAGAGAAGGATGGTTGAGGTGATCATTAAAAAAAAAAATAAATAAAAAAAAAATAAATAAATAAAAAATAAAGAATTGTGTTTATTTTTACATTCGCCGATGTTTCAGCCCGAAATTCAGGCCTTCATCAGAGCCGGGAAAAGAACCAGATAACAATAGGTATAAGAAACCATAAGCATTGAATAATACATAATTAAGATTAAAAAAGATGAAAGGTATAGACTAATAATTTTAGTAAAAAATGTAGTAGATAGAATGAATATTAAAATAAACAAATTAGGTGGAATGATAACAGTAACAGAGAACTAAGAAATAAATAATAATAATGTTAAAGCTCGGACCAATGAAATAAGCATAATAATTATGTTACCTTATATTTTATTATGCTTATTTTATGTTTACTTTAATGTTCATTTTATCTACTTCATTTTTTACTGAAATTATTAGTCTATACCTTTCACCTTTTTTAATCTTAATTCTGTATTATTCAATGTTTATGTTCTCTTATACATATTGTTATCTGGTTCTTTTCTCAGCCCTGATGAAGACCTGAACTTCGGGCCGAAACATCGGCGAATATAAAAATAAACACAATTATTAATTTTACTTTTTTTTTTTTTTTTACTGATCACCCCAACCATCCTTCTCTTGAATAATAATAATGCTTTATTTATTTTGGGAAAAGTCCCTTTAGAATAATATACAGAGATATAAATAAATGTGTGCTTTGGAGCCTCAGAGAATAATCACAAAATAAACAGATTTATATGATGAATAAATTAAAGAAAAGAATATTATTTACCTTTATACTTCAATTAAGAGAAGAAAAACGAAATAAAAGTATTTAAAGCAAACTAATTATTTATATACATATTTAGAATATCTATTTACAATTTTATGAGACTGAACGGATAAGAGATGATTGAACTGGTGGAATTTTAAGGTGGGGAAGGTATTGGAGCAACGGATGTAGGATGGAATAGAATTCCATAGGGATGTGGATCGAATAAAATAAGGAAAGATCTGTCGAAAGCAGCATTTCGGTGGGCTATTATATATAAATCTGAAGACCAGGGAATGGGTTTTGCATAAGTAGACAGAGGATTTGAATTGAAGGAGCTCGGAGGTTATGAGGGATGGCGGAATTGGATAACTAGGAAGAGGAAGAATGCTAGGAAATACTTATGTCAGTTGGAAGGATATATATATATATATATATATATACACATATATATATATAAGCCATTTCAGCTCTTCATAATAACGGAAAACAGAGGTGTCCCTTGGGATACCGAAGATGAATCGTATAAGGCAATTTATCAAACGTTTTATTTTCGCCTCGAGATTCCCGGAGACGTCCCCATATACTGAACAGCTATAGTCGAAGTTAGGAAATATTAAGGAAGTAATCAGGAGTTTACAGGTTTCAAATGGAATTAAGTGGTGGAAGTAATTTAGTCGTTTTAAAATGGAAAAGGCACGGTGGGAAATATTGGATACATGGTTTTTTCAGGAAGGGGTTTGATCAAAGGTTATTCCAAGGTTCTTAATGGTGGAATAGAATTTGATGGAATTATCATATAAGAACAGGGTTGGTATGTGAGGAACAGTTTTAAGGAGGTGACTGGAGCCTATCAAAATTGCCTTGGTCTTCTCGGCATTCAACTTCAACTTGTTCACATCCGCCCAGTCACAGATTCTATTTAAGTCCTCTTGAAGTTTTTTTGTGGCTGCTCATAGGTCAGAAGTAGGAAAGGACAGGTATATTTGGAAATCATCTGTGTTGATATGGTATTGGGTGTGATGGATCAGGAGAGGAAGGTCATTAATGTAAATAGTAAACAGAGTAGGAGATAGGGAGGAACCCTGAGGGACTCTGCAGTAGAGGGGAAATCTCTTAGAAAGGGGTTGAACTTTGATGACTACATACCTTAGTGAGAGTGCTTCCCAGTTGAGAAATCCTGGACTATGTTTGAGATTTTGTATGGAGGGGAAACCATAAGAAATTTCCTGTGAGTTTTGTGAAAATTGGGGAAGTTGTCATTCATTAGTAAACTTTTTGTCAATAGTTAAGACATTTCTGTTTTCATATCTTACTATATTATTACTTTTAGGAAAATTTTTTGTTTTGATATAATATATATGATTAATCTGTTATGTTTTTTCTTTTAATTATTTTTTGTTGTATTATTGGATTTTCAGTATAGAATAACAACCCCAATGACTTCCGTTTATGATATAATTTATATTTAGGTTTATTACAATAGGTTTAGTTTTATCATGAAAAATGAATGAGGTTATGAATTACTATAAATTGTTATACAAATGAGTAACACTGGATAAAACAAAAATAATAATATATAATTAAAAACAAAACTTTGAAAGATAAAAACACACAGGCTTCTATAGAAAACAATCTAAAATAAATTAAAACGGCTACTCACTCTGAAAAAGTTAACATTTTTGAAGAAAATCATTTTACCTAAGATCAAACATTCCTTGATATCGTATTAGGATATTCATCAGTGAAAGAAATTCATTTAAAAGAAGTTATATAGAATGAATTTCATTTTAGAATAAATATACATATGCAAATTAATCTACTGTTACAGCAGTTTTAAAATTTTTCATAACATTTTATCATTCTAGAAAAAGTTGTTTTTATGTTGGACCCACAACATTTGATCATTTGTCAAATGATATGTATGGCCTCACTTTAAAGCCAGTTATTAAATTAAGTAGAAAAATTCACTTGTAAAATTTAATTTTGTATTTTACTGGTAATAAAAAGTCTCATAATAATTTTATTCTATTTTGTTACATTCGATAGATACAATTAGAAACCTCATTGTTATCACTGTTCTCAACAACTTCTTAATATTACACTCACAACTTTATATGGATTCACGTCTTCATCCTCTTTGGACTTGAGGATCCTGGCAAGGGTTGTTTGTCCATGTTATCTTCACCCTCAGTAGGTGGTGGTGCTTGCTGAATGGGCTCTCTACATAGTCTTCATCGTCGTCCTCGGCAACAGGCACACTGTTTAGGCATTTGCCTTGGCAGCGGAGGTATACTGCAGAACAAATCAGCATTGATTTTGAAATCCATATTTGTTAATTACACAATCATTGGTCCAGCCTTAAACCTGACATGAAGGTTCTTGGTCTGACAATACCAATAATGCCATTTCCCAGCGCAGCACATTTTCTCTTAATTTTTTTTACTCTCCTTGTCTATTCCGATTGAAGACCCTGAAGAAAAAAGGTCAGAGATGGAGGTATTGTAATGAAATAAAATGAAAAATAATTTTATTCTGGGACTGAAGTCCCCTTAGAATAACAGTAGAGTTTAAAAAATATGTACATTAGTCTGGCATTTAAGTATTATACAAAAAATACCTAGAAGATTGTAAGCACACATATATATACACAAAAATACTAAGGGAAACAGAAATATATAAAAGATACCAAGAAAAATATAATTATCTACAAAACATACTAACGATAAACACAGATATATACAATAAAACACTGAGATATAAAAAATTAATAAATAAAAATAAAACTTCTATCAATTAACTGCTGGTTGCCAACGTAATTATGACGAAGGATTTACTGAAGGAAGTGGTTTTATGGGAGGGGATATATAAATCTATAGGCTGAGATCTGGTATTGAGAGAGTGGATAGAGGAGCATAAAGTAAGGAGTTCTAAGTTGTATGGAGGGTTTTTGCTTCTGAGAACTTGAAAAAGACCAACACCAAGAAGGAATTGCCGTCAGGAAGTAGGATATAGCCACTTCAACTCAGTGTACCAATAAGAAATATGAGAACGCTTGGGAATCCCAAATATGAATCTTATGAA